CTACCAGGCACCCAACCCAACAGCAAACAGATCCCAATCAAGGAACTACCAGAGGAGCCAAACAAAAAACCCCACCCCCACCAGCACTGGCAAGACAGGCCACAGCACATAAACGGAGAGCAAACCCCATCCCATTTTAGCCCTGAAGATGTTACCTGGCCAGGTAACGAAACGTTTGCGAGAAAAGAACCAAGCTCAGAGGACCGCAGGGACTCCACAGATTCTATACGCATTCCTTCTACTTCTGCATCCAGGTGTTGCATTAGACTTGGTCCAAGGCAGAGCACCATAGCACTGTACTTGATTAACAAAACAGGTTGGACTAAACTGCCTTTTGGAGGTCTCTCACTCGGCGTGTTAGTTCTCACATGTTCAGTGAAAAACAACATGATAGCAAATCTGAATGTTGCAAAAACAGAGGGAAGCAAGCAAGTCTGTCGCTCACTGGGCTTGTCCTTGAATCACGGCAATCGCTCGAATTTCTTGGTGATGGCTTCTACCTAATATTACTCATCTAAAGTTCTTGAGTTTCTTGTAAGTTTGGCTGCTCGTTCATTGCTCCCTGCAGAGTGAAGCCTGACACCCAGATTACTATGAGGAGTAATCTGTTTCTTAGAGAGAGACAGAGACAGAGACAGAGACAGATGCCATTTGGGGAATGTGATTTTGGCATGAGATGGTTCCTGCAATGCTACATAGTATCATCTCTCTGTAGTTTAAACCACACTGATTGTCTGAAGGGGCAGATGGAGGTAAGGAAGGGATGACGTGACTTGACTTCAGCTCTGTCTGTTGATATCAGACCCCCATTAAGCGGGCAAGAGTAATATCAACCCGTCGATACCTACAACTGGGAGTATTTTGAAATCTGAACTCAGGGCCATGGAAACTTTAGGTGCTTGCAGGCCACTACTCCAGAGGGCTGGGGTAAGGGGGCTGGCAGGCTACCAGAGACCCAGGTGGCCCTAGTCATCCTCTCACCCCACCCCCACCCCCACCGAGGGGTGGGGCTACGTCTCTCACCCGCATGTTGGGGTCATCCAAAGAGTGCCTGGCTTGTTCGATCGCCTCCTTGGTCACGGAGGTGTCCCCGTTGGACTGGATCTCCAGCACGGCCATCTGCGGGAGAGGCTAAGATGGAGCCAGGCCAGCCGAGCAAGTGGCGGCTGGGCAGGGCACGGGGCTCCGGATACCCAGATTTCACCAGCGGCAGAGGCTGGGGAGGGGATAGCCTTTCCTAGGCAGCCCACCGGCTTCTGTCCCATGGGCCTCTGCTCCCACAGCCCCTTACCTCCAGAGCGCACATCCCGAAGGAGAAAATGTCCACCGCCGGGCCATCTGCTGAATCTGAAAAGCCAACATCATGCCGTGGAGCTGGCACGCCCCAGAGGGGCCGTGCCCCACCCCCGCCGGAAGGGGCTCGCTCTCACGTCCATACTCCGGTGGGAAGAAGTGCAAGTTCCGCGGGTCTTCCCGCTCTGTGCGGGCAGGGCTGTGGAGCTCAGGTGGGATGGCTGTGGAGGGAAGGAAGATGGCACGCCTCAGGCGGGAGGCTGGAGCAGATGCCATGGAGCGGGGCCAAGGGTACCCTCTGCAGGAGGCTTCCCACATCAGAACCTGGTGGCCCAGGAGGAAGTTATGGTAGCCCAGGACACGGTCCTGAAGCAGGGTGAAGACTCAGTTGGGAGCAACTTGGACTGGAGAGAGAGACAGGAAGGGGCGAACGTGGGCAGCTTTGCTTACCCTTTGCAAAAACTCGGTGCCAAACTGTGGGGGCAGAGAAGAAGGCAGTTAGAGAGATGAAGCTGCAAGAGGGCCCAGCAGTGTCACCCCAGCAAAGGCCTCGTGCACTTGCTTCTCACGGCCTGCGCAGTGGAAGACGCTCCCTGCCAGATCAGGCCGTGCACGGCAGGCCTGTGCGGGGAG